TCCCCGTCCGCCCCCCGCCCCGAACACCCGGGGTGTCCCGCGTAACCCCCGGCCGCAGGACGGCTTGGCGGGGCGGGAGCCGCGCTGCCCAAGCGAGGGGGACCCTCTCCCGGCGGGCCGGGGCGGCGGCGGGGGTGGGGGTTGACACCCGGGAGGACCCCCCAGCCCTGCCCCGCAGCGGTTCCCCGCACCGGCGCTGGTTTCCCCAGCCGGGGGTGAGGCCGGGTTATCCCGGGCAGGTGTGTGGACTGGCCGCCCCCGGCCCGGGCACCGGCGGGGGGGGGGGGGGTCTCGGTGGTGGCGGTGAAAATAACGTTTGTCTCAGGGGGAGGGTGTCCCTTGAGGCACCGGCTGACAGAATTGACAGAAAATCTTGCATAGGGTACCCAAAGTGTCGCACCTCCACACTTCTTCCACGTCCGGCACCAGGCAGCATAAATGCCTGGGGTTTTTTTGGTTTTTTTTAGCTCCTCTCAACCCTTAGCAATACAAATCCTCGCTTATTTCTCTCCGCTCTTGTGAAGAATTTGGCCTCCTGCTGTCATCAGGAAGGGACCGGCCTTCTCCTCTGGCTGCTGGCCATGGGTCTCCTCTGCCCTCCTGCAGACGGGGTGTCAGCATCGGGCCCCGCACCCCAAACCCCTGTGTCTTGGTCCTGGGCTGGTGGATTGGGACCCTTGGGTTCTCTGTGGTCAGATAAACGTGTCCCATCACCCCCTAAAATCAAGAGGGAGGAAAAAAGGTTAAGAGAAGTGGAAGCACCTTGCTGGGGGGGGGGGGGGGAGGGGGAGTGTTGCCAAGCGTCAGAGGAAATGGGATGGGAGTCTTCTGCCGTCAACAAATTAGTAGTTTCCCTCAATCGAGCTGCACTCTTAAACATTGTGAAACAGCCTTAAAAAAAAAAAAATGACTGCTTTGTAGCAACCTAGGCCTCTTCTCGGTCTGTCTGTTCCTGAGTTGTCATGGAGACATGCAAAATAAAAAAGAGCTGGAAATTCCCAAGGAAGGAGCGGGGGGATCCTTTACAGATAGGGGTTGATGAGATTTGAGAGGTACTTTGGAAATCTGGATGGTAGCTTCTTGCTGACTGTGAATTGGCACAAAGTATGTTTGACCCCTGTGCCTGTCTGAGACCGTGCCTTCAGTGCAATTCCAGAATTGGCTTATCTAGAGCCATCCATGACTCTGCTTTTAGCCAAGTAGCTCTCTGTGTTGATTTTTAACAAAACTGCAGCCATCTAGTCATACATCACTGAACACCGAGTACCACGGATAACAGCAGCTCATTACTAAAGTTAGTTTTCTCTCTCGTTTTTAATTAATCACAGCTATGCCTGAGTCTGAAAGTTTTGCAGCATCACGTTCTAAACGTGAGAAGAAGTCTAGAAGAGGCCAGCAAGAAGCACTGGAACGTCTGAAAAAAGCCAAAGCCGGTGAAAAAATAAAATATGAGGTGAAAATTCCTCATCTTTTCTTTTTAATAAGAAATGAATGTGAGCTGAGATGTTTAACTATCCTTTACATATATATAAAAGCTATGTGAAACAGAATCCGCCTTTCAGATCAGCTTTCTTTTTATTTTGAAAGTGTGTGTATTTTGGGATGTAACTAATTGTTTTGCAACTTTCTGGTTTCATGTATTAGTTTCTTTCTGTTTTCAAAACTAAACCAATTTTATTAACTGCAGTCAAACATGCTTGATATTGCTTGATAACTGTCCCACAGAGAAAGACCAACTTTCGAAATACAGTTGTATCATTAATGTTGTGATAGGAAGTACTTTTGGTTTTAAACTTCAAATGATTTTAAACTTTAAGTTCATTTCAGAGCTTCAGTGACTGAAATCGATTAATGTCGCTATGCTGTGACATTTCCACAAGGAAACCAAAATTTAAGTATTTAACTAGTAGAACTGAAAGCTGGCAGTGTAACATTGGTACTGCCCAGTTAATTGTAACGCCAACAGGAAGTGACTTCTGCATTGAGGTGGAAAAATCTAAAGAAGCCTGAAGTGCTTAGATCATTAACACTCAAGTTCACTCTGAGACACAGAAGAGCATCTTCAGCATTATACATGGCCATCTCAAATCACCTTCCTTTTCATTGAGCTCATCTTGATGTTTGAGAGTAGAGCCAAAGGTCAGAAGGTTCCATTGCTAGAAATGTTTGGCTTTTTTTTTTTAATGTGAAATAAGCAATAAACTGATGAAATCTGTGCCAGTGCTACAGTAGATTTTAAGTTTCAGTATACTGTGATAATTTAAAAAATTGATAGCTTGTCTTTTGTCACTGCCAAAAAAGAAAACTTAAACTGAATGAGTCTCTGCCCTTACTAGTTGTGAACAATGTAGAAGTGTAGGAAAACATGCATTTCTTGGGAACTTGGTATTCTTACTAATGACCTATATTAAAATACAATGGTACAGGAACTGTTAATCTCCATCATACCTTAACTGTAGGTTGAGGAGTTCACAAGTGTTTATGATGAAATAGATGAGGAAGAATACTCCAAGATGGTCAGAGAACGTCAGGATGATGACTGGATTGTTGATGATGGTAAGTTAAGATTCATTTGGAAAGTTGTTTTGGTTGTAGTGTTATAACCCAGGTGGGCTTCATAATGTTCATGACTTCAGGTAAGTTGTAGTTACTACATTTTTACAAATTGTTTTTGGAGACAAAAAAAATTTAAGTGTTTATATGGAAATAAATCTTTTGCATTGTTCTCATAGAATTAGGATGGTAATGAAAATATTTTTCCATTAAGAACTGATTTTAAAATTTTATTTCCAGTTAACAGTAATGTAACTTTAAAAAGCGGCACTGTAATCAATAATTTCTAATTAAACATAATAACATATTTAGACCAATAAAAGATAAATCTGAGTGCTGTAGTTTTTAACGCTTTTGTATTTATAACTTTTGCTCTATA